GAGCAGGCAAAAGGTTTTTCTCCAGTGTGCGTTCTGACGTGGGCTCTTAAAGCGCCCTTCTGAATGAAGCCCTTGCCACAAACCGAGCAGACAAAGGGTCTCTCTCCGGTGTGTTTCCTCGTGTGTACTTTCAACACGGACTTTCTGCAAAACGTTTTGTCACAGTAAGAACACTTGACTCGTTTGGCGTCAGTCGGGCACGTCTTGTCACCTGTGGCGTGTTCGTCATCACCGTCGTCGTCGTCATAGTCCGAAGAGTGCGACGTGATGTTTTCACTCTCTGACGGTGGCGCCGAGAGGCCTTCGGAGTGGGATCCTCCGCAGTGGTCCCCGTCCCCTTCTTCGATCTTCACGGTGACACAAGCCAGTGGAAAGCTGAGCTCATCCTCCCGCTCTTCCTCTTTAACACAGAGAGGCTCCGGTGCCTCTGGCTCCACTTCGTCTTTGATCTGAACCTTTTCTGGCTCCTGCCACTCAGGGCCAAGAGAGTCGTGTGCCTGCGTGTGCTCTGAAAGCGCCCTTCTGAATGAAGCTTTTGCCACAAACGGAGCAGGCAAAAGGTTTTTCTCCAGTGTGCGTTCTGACGTGGGCTCTTAAAGCGCCCTTCTGAATGAAGCCCTTGCCACAAACCGAGCAGACAAAGGGTCTCTCTCCGGTGTGTTTCCTCGTGTGTACTTTCAACACGGACTTTCTGCAAAACGTTTTGTCACAGTAAGAACACTTGACTCGTTTGGCGTCAGTCGGGCACGTCTTGTCACCTGTGGCGTGTTCGTCATCACCGTCGTCGTCGTCATAGTCCGAAGAGTGCGACGTGATGTTTTCACTCTCTGACGGTGGCGCCGAGAGGCCTTCGGAGTGGGATCCTCCGCAGTGGTCCCCGTCCCCTTCTTCGATCTTCACGGTGACACAAGCCAGTGGAAAGCTGAGCTCATCCTCCCGCTCTTCCTCTTTAACACAGAGAGGCTCCGGTGCCTCTGGCTCCACTTCGTCTTTGATCTGAACCTTTTCTGGCTCCTGCCACTCAGGGCCAAGAGAGTCATTGGCGACTGCAGGACACAAAAAAAAAAAAAAAAAAAAAAAAAAAAAAACACCAGACAACATTCTGCCAGTTAATGTTAGTTGCGTAGCGAGCATTCAAGATGTCGGCGGAGGTTCAACCAAAGTTTTACAATTAATCTGATCGCTTGCTCACATGACATGGTGACAAGACTGACCTTGGATCTTGGACCCAGCACAAGTGGTTGCGATGTCAATCCTGGCATACTGCCTGAAGGCCTGAAGACTAAAGTCTAAATCCTCAAGTGGTTTGGCTTTGTTTTCTGCTCTTATTTTCTTGATTGTTTTTCTCCTCTTTCTCGCGTTTGTTTTAACTCTGCGATCCTTTCGGATATGAAATAAAGAATCAAGTGTTGTTGAAATTGCTCTCCTTTTTGTTCAGAGACGTAAGATTGCTCGAATGACTCCAAACAAGATTTACGACGTGATAATCGTCAACGCGCATGAATATTTTCCAACGTAATTCCGACCAAGAGTGAGAGGAAGAAGTCTTCGAACATACCTGCTGGGTCTGACGGAACTCGAGGCTCCACCTCGCAAAGTGCTTGGCTTTGTGGCTCCTTCTCTTCTTTGGTCCCCCAAAGGTCCTCCTCGGGCTCCTCCTCTTTCACGCGTCTCGTGCACATTTCCACGCGATGGTCGCCGCGTTTCTCGGTGGCCTAGCGACGTCTTGCTAACAGCCGGCCGGGGTCTCTTTGTTAGCAAGCGAGCTAAACTAAGTCAAGCTAAGCTAAAGCGAGAAGCTTCACCGCGCACGGAGGCCGCCGAGATTGAACGAATGTGGATTTGATCCAATTAAATGGGGAAGGAGGCCGTGTGTCGATGCTTGCGTACGTTCGAGAGGCAATGCAGAAAGAACGCTTTAGTGAAGCGAGCACCTTTGTGAGTGAGCCGGACGCAAAGAAGCTCCCGTCTGCGGGAGAAAAGGTACGGCAGCTTCACTTGGACAAAAGTCTTCTTTTCCATTTTCATCGGAAAAAAAAAATCTATAAACGGGGCGGCAGACGGTAGTCATTTACATTCTAATCCATATAATGTATATATATTGCGCTCGGCCTCGTTTTTCCTCAAATCGAATGAGTGCCGCCGTACGACCTCCGTCTACCATTGCGCTTTCCCGCCCATAGATGGCAGTGTTCTCCACAGACTTAGACATCCGTTTTTGATGAAAAAAATTCTTGCACCTTGTTTTTGAGATCTTTTCCTTGTTGTTGTGGTTTTTCAGCTCGTCCTGTAAAGGTTTGCTCAATACCGATTTGACGATACGTTTTCATCATTCTGTCAGCAGAAAAAAAAAACTGTTTCTATCTTTTTCCATTCTTCAGCAATCGGCATGACAAAAGTTTCATGGAAATGGCGATTCCTGGGCTTCTGCCCAAAAGGAGAAAAAAAGAGCTTTTTGTAAAAGCAAGCATTTCAATCACGTGAGGCACCACTGCCACCTCCTGGTCGCTTTTTTACATGATTTACAATGCAAACGGCTTATTCTCATTCAAAGATTGCATCAGACCCTCTTCCCAGACTTCGACGTACAAGTACGTCCTTGGTAGGCGGGGCCTAATTTTAAAAAGACGTACAAGCACGTCTTGTGGAATGAAAGAGTTTTAAGAAGACATCCACCGGTTGCTGAACCTTTAGTTGAAAAAAAGAAAACATGAAGAACGGTTGAAATTCATCTCTGAAAAATAGTAAAAATGCCACGACACAAGAGAAAAATCTCGACCTCGTTCCAGCCACCGGCAATGAGTCCGAGAGCCCCAACAGTCTCAGTCGCTCAAGAGTTTATTTTGCCGCTCGACGGTCTTCTGCCGTTCTGAGCAGCACATTTGTGTTTCTTCAGCTGATCCTTCCGAAAGAATCGCTTGGCACACACGCTGCAAGTGAATGGTTTCTCGCCAACATGTATTCTCGCGTGAGTCTTCAAATTGTTCTTCCTGTTAAAGGCTTTGCCACAAACCGAGCAAGCAAAAGGTTTCTCATCCGTGTGCGTTCTCATGTGTCTTGTTCGGTTCTTATTCATGGTGAACCTTGTACCGCAAACCGGGCAGACAAACGGTTTCTCGCCGGTGTGTGTTCTCATGTGTATTCGCAAGTCTCCCTTCTGCGTGAAGCTTTTGCCACAAAGCGAGCAAGTAAAAGGTTTCTCTCCGTCGTGCATTCTGGCGTGCCTTTTTAAATTGGCCTTCGTGGTGAACCGTTGAGCACAAACCGGGCAGACAAACGGTTTATCGCCAGTGTGTGTTCGTGTGTGATTTGTCAGATGCGTTTGTCTCGAGAATATTTTCCCACAAACGGAGCAGGCGTATGGGTTTTCTCCCGTGTGTGCTTTCAACAAGGACTTTCTGTCAAAGTGAGAACATTTAACACACTTGTTGCCAGTGCCAAACGTCGGATCCTCTTTAGAGTGTTGTTCATCATCCTCGTCACCATAGTCGGAAGAGTGTGACGTGACGTCATCGCCATCTGAAAGCGGCGCCAGGAGGCCGTCCGATGGGGTTTCTCCGCAGTGGGCTCCTTTGCTCTTCACAATGATGCCAGTCAACGGAGACTTTGAGATTCGGTCCTCCCGCTCGTCTTCTTTGCGCGGTGCCTCGGGCTCTTCCTCCACTTTGATGCGAGCGGGATCCGGCATCTCTTCTTTAACACACGCAGGCTGCGGCGCCTCTTCCGTTTTGATGCGGGGAGACTCCAGCCGCTGCGAGCCAACAAGATCTTCACTGACGTCTGCGGGACAGCAAAAGAAAAAAAACAAACACACACACACACACGCGCTTTGATCGAGCCAAGCTTTATTCAAAGGAGTCTCAAGTTGCATGCTGTTGTTTGCACACGTTCTTGCCAATGTTTAAGGTATCCTTTATCGATGCCCAAGGGTTCAATTCCGATGTAAGGGCGCACGAATAGGAATGAAAATAATGCTAAGCGACCTCAAAAGTAATGATAACAGATCTCCCATTTTAATCCAATGGAGACACGGCGGCACCGGCAGGGAGCTGCCGTCCATCTGAAGGAGTCCCAGCGGGGCCTTTTGGGTCGCCTTTGTGGCCGCTGAGGTACAAGCTCGCGTGAGGCCATTCGGGAGGACTTTGAAGAACTTGTGTTTGGCCATCCAAAGCTCCACATCTGAGACGCTGGTTTTCAGTAGGGAAGGAGTTTGACTTTCTTGGGCTCTCGTTCCCAGACGAGTCGGGGCAGGGTGGCGAGCCAGACGGATGGACTCCTCATGCCGACTCGGCTTCGGTCTGGCGGGACGAAGGAGAAGCGGAGCCCAAAGGCAAAGCGCAAATCTAAAGGTGACTGCAATTTGCATTTTGAGCTCCGACTCCACAATCTCTCTCGTCCGCAGACTCCTTGGACCGTTTTAGACACCTCAAGCCTATTGTCCGAACCCTGGTTTAAAGCCCTACTTTGAAACACTAACCCCGATTTAACACCCTCCATCGAAACCCCATCGCTGGTTTAACGCCCGAGTTTAAAACCTTCATTTCAAACCCTAACCCTCGTTCAAAACCCAACTTGGAAACAGTAAAACCAAGTTTAGAAGCCATCTTGGAAACCCTAATCCCGGTTTCAAAACCGAATGTGAAACGCCTACCCGAGATCAGAGCTGGAGACCCTTCCGTCAAAACACACACCCAGGTTGGAATCCGGCATGACAAGAAATCCGCCGCTTTGACAGTCGAATTAACACCGCAGCATTGTGATGAAATGCAACGAGTATGGTCGGCAAACAAGTTGTCGTGAACGAACCTGCGTCACGGAGCGAAAGTGGAGGCTGCTCGACATCGGGGTCCAGGAGTTGACGCTCGCTCTCCTTGGTTGGTCCACCAACGTCCTCCTCGTACTCTTCGTCTTTCACAATTTTCGCACACATTGGCCCACGGGAATCGTCGCCCTTACCACTCGCTCTTGCTCTCTGCGACTTGGGGCGCCTCTCGCCTCTTTGTTAGCTAGCGGCTAGCGACCTTAGCTAAAATAGGCCTAGAGGCGTTTATTCCCGCACGAAAATCCCCCAAACCGTGTTTTAGTCGGCTGGGACGTAGGTAGTGCCTCGGCGCCTCCGTGCGTTCAAGTAAATAAGAATCCGGGGAGTCAAACGATGTTTAGTGGAGATCAAATGTGTGCTTGCGTACAACGTGCAAGAAGTAGTACAGCAATTTTTTCTTCCTTGTTTTTCATACGGCTGTTTGCATGCCGAATTAGCACAATACCGCCATCTATCGATATAAATGGATTACTGCTGCCAGTTCGTTGGTCTACCGTTGAAACGGTTCAGTTTCATCCGACAAAATGAAATAAAAATAAACCAAAAGAGCTCTGATTTTGGAATACTCATATCGTGTCTTGTTGTGCTCAAACATAAATATTCACTCCGCGGAGCCTTCAAAAGCATCGACTTGAATTCGGAGCTCGTTGGAGGACGTGCAGATTTAGCCGCCATCTTGAAGCGGGACTTTCCGGCCATCGCCTCAATTCACTTTTATTGAGACAACTGCCTTATGGATCGTCTAAATTAATCGAAACTCGTGACACAAACTGCTTCGTTATAAACGTCAGTGTGTGTGTGTGTGTGTGTGTGTGTGTGTGTGTGTGTGTGTGTGTGTGTGTGTGTGTGTCCGCCACATTTGTAGGTCAGTCATCATGGACAGGACACTTTGATTCGCTCCTCTTTCATCTATAACTGCTTCAGACAACAAATTGTATGCAGGAAAGTGGTTAAGATTGCACGATTGTCTGTCTCATGTGTTGTCTTGTCTCATTTTGTCATTTTTGTGTTAACTTTTCTTTTGATGGCGCGCGGACACCCGCAGCGGCTCTTCTTGTTTTATGTTGAGAGGGAAGAAATGTCATCTGTGCTGTATGTTACACATACGTACAGCACATTTGACAATAAAGTTGTATTTAATTCAATTCAATCATGTCAAAAAAGAATTCAATTCAACTCCATTATTTGTAGAGCACAACCACAGCGTCATAAAAAGCGATGTCCTTCAAGTAAAACATATGAGAACAAAGACAGTTGAAAGATGAAATGAATAATATAGACAAGACGGAAAATTGAATAAAAGACTCAAATCAGGCCGAGTCAAACGCCAAAGAACAGAAGATAAGACGAGAAAACCTTTATTTATCTCACAATGTAGAAATTCCCAAATGACAGCAGCAAAATTATGAAAGGGAGAAAGTAGAATACAAAAAGTATATCAACAAATACTGTATACATTTTTCAGATGAACAGGAATCTCATTGCATCACCCCCTCTCAAACCGAGGCGTACGTATTGGATCGGAAGCCCGCCGAATCAACGCACATCGTTCCACTTGAACATGAACCACCCTTGAATCGTCTCGTACCCCAAATGCTCGAAATAGCTCTCGGAATTTGAAGAACATTACAACTCAACTGCATTTCTCGAGCACTTTCAAACAGCCATCGCTGCATGCAAAGTGCTGTACACGGAGCAACGAACATATACAACAGTAAAGCAACAAATCGGTAACAACATTCAAACACTGACATGGGGGCTGAAGTTGACCACGGGTCATTCCCAGAAACCAGCACGCAGACTCGCCGACGTTGCGCGCCCTGCCCACGCTCAGTGCGTTAACGCCTGCGTGGCAATTCGAAAATCACCTCATGCTGGGGAATAGACGGCACCACGTCAGTGTCTCGGTTCACCGAGCGCTGCTGTTCTCCCCAGCACAATTATGTTTCGTGACCCGATACTTGTTAGTGAAGCGTCTATCGCACACGCTGCAGCTGAACGGCTTCTCTCCGGTGTGCGTTCTCGCGTGCTGTCTTAAATGTGTCTTTTGGGTGAATGCTTTGCCGCAAAGGAAGCAGGCAAACGGTTTCTCTCCAGTGTGGGTTCTTGCGTGTATTCTCACGCCGCCCCTATCAGAGAATCGTTGACCACACACTGAGCAGGCAAAGGGTTTCTCCCCGGTGTGTGTTCGAGCATGCCTTTTTAAATGCGCCTTCTGGGCGAATGTTTTGCCGCAAAGGAAGCAGGCAAACGGTTTCTCTCCAGTATGGGTTCTTGCGTGATTTCTCACGTTGCGCCTATCAGAGAATCGGTGACCACACACTGAGCAGGCAAAGGGTTTCTCCCCGGTGTGCGTTCTTGAGTGCTTTTTTAAATGTCCCCTTTCAGTAAATCTTTTATCGCAGACCGAGCAGACAAAAGGTTTCTCTCCCGTGTGCGTTCTTAAGTGTGCTTTTAAGTTACAGTGCTTCCTAAATTTCTGGTGGCAGACCGAGCACGCAAAATATTTCTCCCCGACGTGTGTTTTTTTGTGCTTTGCCAAAGTGGCTGTTTGAGTCAACCTTTGACTACAAGCCGCGCTGGTAAGGGGGGTTTCTCCAGTGTGCATTGTCACGTGCACCTTCAAGTTACACTGGGCATCAAATGTTTTGTCACACTGAGAACATTTCCAGCACTTGTTGTCTGTGTGACATATCTGATCGCCGTGAGAGCCTTCGTCATCTTCATCATCGTCAGTAGAATGAGCATGTGATGTGATGTCGCCATCATGGGGCAGCGGAGGCGAGAGGCCGTCTGCACGGGATCGTCCCCGGTGTCCTGCACCGACTTCAGTTGACGCGGGTTGACTTGAGCTGCAGCTTGGAGGGTGCGCCCCCCTGCTCTGCTCATTTTGGCATTCCTCTTCATCTTGTTCAACGGTCAAAGGGGCAAAGGTCGGCGGCATCTTGCCAACACGATAGTCCTCTTCCTCCTGAACGTGAGGTGACTCAGGATGAAGATCTTCTTCACTGACGTCTGCGGGACCCAAGAAGAAAAAAGGCTTTTGCTCAAGTCAAGCGCCACGATGTGCAACATTCTCGTTTTCAGTTGCTCGTAATAGGAAAAACAGATGCCGGTTGTCGCTACCGCAGTTGACGGGGGTCCGGACAGGAAAGTCCTGTGACCGAAGGAAGATGTTAAAAAGGGTTTCAGTCGAATTAAAGGATGGTTTGTGGAAGAGGCCGGCCAGGAGGCAGGACGTCGGCAGCTTTTGCTGCTGCGAGTTGAGATCACCTTCTCCTACCCGCAGGCAACACACACACACACACACACACACACACACACACACACACACACACACACACACACACGAAAAACTTTTCCATCCGACCAAGAATGAATCGAGTGGAACCTCGCATGATCGAAGACCTGCTTGATTCGGGAGGAAAATTGCCTAACAATTTCTGGTTTGCAAACGGCTGAGACAGGAACCAATGGAGGCATGGCTTGGGCTTTCCTCGTGCCGCGTAAATAAATGTTGCATGTCGCACGCTATTTAGTTTGGCTGGATATGAGTCGCGTGGTGAGCATGCCTCGTGGAGCAACAAGGCCGTCTGGCTGATCGGCTCACTGCGCTCTGTGTTACCTTTGTCACTTTTCGCAGTGACGCCGATGAACGGAACGTCGTCGATGTCATCCTCCCGTTCCTCCTCTTTGATGTGAAGAGGCTCGAGCTCCTCCTCCTCTTTGATGGTGGCAAATTGCGTGACCTGCCGCTCAGGACCGAGATCTTCTCCGGTGACATACAGGACATGTGAAGACAAACATGCATTCTGGTCAAGTCAAGCTTTGCTCAGTCTGATTGTTATTCTGAGCGAGACACTTTGCATTTTGGGCAATGTTTATGATGAGGTATTCTTTATGGCCCCCCGTCATCCTATCAGTCTCATTTTCACAAACAAATAAATCAATCAATCAATCAATCTTTAACCTGCGGTGGCACGTGACCTACGTCACCGGAAGTTGTTGGCGCTCAACAGTCTGCAATTGCAGCTTGTGACCAGAGCTGCTGCGCTATATCTTTTGTCGTCACTCTTCTCATTCAGAGTTTGCTTCGTGTACGATTCACCGAGGGGACGGGCAAAGAATAGAGGGCCCAGGGCAGCACTTTAAAACGGTACGTGTGAGCTACGATAGTTAACAGGCTGTAAAAGTGCATCGCATGCCACCGTGTCAGGCCGTTTCTCATCATGGCGTGTGCGTGTGTGTGCGCGGTGATCCCGGGACGTGGGTTGATTGAAAAGTCAATCTTCGGTCCGAAAAGTTTGGGCACCCTTGATGTATAGGGATGATATTGGAGCTCGCTCCACAGTCTATTTGACAGTTGACTTGTCTCGTGTCAATCGGCATTCCAGCAAAGAGTTGTTTTTCTTGTTTAAACTTGACTCTCATTTGGTTCACTTTCTCTTCTGTCTTCATTTTGTGGGTTATCATCAAAACATCTTCATGTTCTTCTCTATCGTGCTCCTCAACAGCATTTCGTGCTCCATCATTCTTACTGTGTGCATTTCATGTCTTCCACATGGCAGCAAAACGATGATCCTTTCCACATTTGAAACACCTTTTCCCGATAGCAGGACACTTCTTTTTATTTCTCTCGTGTGTCTTGACAGAAAAAGTACAGCAAACCTCACCTTTGCTTTTCTTTTCTTCTTTGACTGAATACACTTCATTCAGCGTCTGCCCTTGCAGTGTTTTCCAGTTTTCTCGTGACAGCTCTGACGCTCTGCAGATCTTCAAGCATTTTTCCAATGTTAGATTCTCTTCTCTTAGCAGTCTTTCTCTCAGCCCATTGTCGTTTGTGCCACACACTATTCTGTCTTTAATCAAGGAGTCTTTTAATTGCTCAAAATTACAGGTGCTGGCCAAAACTCTTAATTCTGTAACGTACTTGTCGACATTTTCTCCCGTTGCTTGATCTCTCGTGAAGAATGCGTATCTCGCCACGGTTTCGTTTAGCTTCGGGTTCCAAAGTTCGTCAAACTTTCTCATCACATCCCTCACGGTGTTCCCTGCGGACACATCATCGCTCCACCACGTGCTCAACAGTTGTCTACCTTCTTCGCCGATGAGGAGGTGAAACAGCTTGCATTTCGTGTCTTCCTCTGCGTTCGGCATTGTCAGTTCCACGTACAATGTGAATTGCTCTTTCCACGTTTTCCACGTCTTCGCCAAATTGCTTGAATGCAAAGAAAGAATCGGCGGCGGTCTCAGACCTTCCATTGGAGACTCTGTCCGCAGTTAGCTTACGTGCTAACGAGTTAGCGTTTCGTCCAACACTCTCTTCACGTCGCCAATTACTACACACGCGCTTCACTCTGTTCCGTTCTCGCTGACCGTACAGAATGGACGGTTAGAGCACCTTGCGTCCTAGGCTTTTATTGGCATAACTCTGAAACACAAACAGTCTCGTACATCCGGGAGAAAAAACTCACTTCCGGTTCCCTCACCAAAAGCTGTCCGACTAGCAACAGCAATTCAATCTGACGACACCGTTGTTACACTGATGATGTGCCGTGATTGTTTTTTTTTCCCCTTCAACAAAGCTGTGTTCGCGGCTAGTAAACGGCCAAGAAGATGATTTTACAAACGATGTTTTATTCCAGTAAACTAACGACCGGAGAACAATGTCGAGGCTTCGCATACCTGTCAACCTCGGCTAATAGCTGCCCTTATTAATGATTACGATTCCCCTTAAAAAGCAACAAAATCCGTACAACGGGGTTTACCACACATGCGCACATCATGCTTTGTCAATCCGATCGTACGCAGCGATGAAATAAAATATCCGATTGAGGACTAATTTTGCTGGTTTGCCGTGACAATAGTAGCGATCGACGACGGCATTGTCGTTGGCTACCAGCAGGTGAGACGATCTGGATTTGAGCCAAAATGGTCTTTGCGAGATCGGTTCACAATTGTTTTTTTTTTTTTTTCCCCAATAAAAGTTGTAATACGCCGTACATGATTTGAAATGACAAAAAAAAACCCCGGATCAAATACGGGGAAAACGTACAAATTGACAGGTATGGGCTTGGGACGCTTCTTGATCGTTCAGTGAAAGAAAAAGAAATCGCGGAGCTGGGAGATCGATTGCTCCCGTTCCCTTCGACGTAACATCCGGCCAACGAGCTGAGCTACCCAGTCATGACTGCCATTTAGCGGTAATGACAACACACAGCACGTAGCGAATAGCGATACATTTTCGTTCAGCATTCCCACCATTAAAACACTGCGTTTCAAATGCGTATATACTTCTACCCAAGCCATTGATTACTTTTCGACAGCCCAAGACATGCGTCTTTATGTAGTTTGTCCAAGTAGCCATTCCGTACTAGTCCACCGCGAAGCTACTTAAGGTTGTTTTTTTACATTACCGCACGTGCTGCCCTTCATATGTACTGCCTTCCCAAATCTGTTCTGAACGTATCGAATCCATCGCCTTACACTAGTCAACGAGAATAAAAACACCACCAGGTCAACATTCGTACCCTGATCGCCTCGACTCGCTGCACGTCGAAGTTTCTCGAGCTAGCTTAGCTTAGCTTGTTAGCCACCCACAGAGACGAGCTCGTGGGCAGTTTGAGTTCAGAGTGCTGCGATTGCAGTGGGGAAATGTGTGCAAAGGGTGTGAAAGAAGAGTACGAGCAGAAGGTCGGGGGAATAAAAGAGGAGAGCGAGCAACCGAGGCAACTACCGGACGCTGTTTTCGAGAAGCCTCCAATTGAGTTCCAAGGTGCAGGTTTGCGCGCTTCTCTTTTCTCTCTTTTCATTTCTTAGCCACAACATTGCCGTGTTCGGAGCGCTCAATTCCACATCTTCATCTGGAGCACACCTAACTAAACATAAACATTCAGCTCGATTTTCCTTTTGGTTGTAACACAAAGTAGCATCGTGTCGTGCAACGTTGTACAGCGTGGCAGCAGGCAAATACGGGCCTTCTTAAAGCGCTCTTCAATTTGTTTGTCAGTGTTGCACGCATTGGAACGCGTCAGTGTTCACATGTTATGTTGCCTTTAAAAAAAAGAGAACTATTTTAAAAGACTCGGAGTCAGCTGGTTCCTCAAGACTTTTCTATACGTCACCGTGGTCATTTTCCAAACCACGAGAGGGTCAAGCGCTATATTCCCGGATAACAGGAGTACTGTAGGCCATTGTGTTAAACAAAGGGCGTGTTCATTTTGATTTTTGATTGAAAGACTGCAATGCCTGCTATTCTTCTCCAAGGGTCATTGAAGGAGATCGAAAATGTTGCCAAAAACATGTGACATGTCCAAACCACAGCATCAAAGTCACGACATGAGTGAGACTCGAATGAGCAAAAGTTGACTTGAGCAAACCATGCGCCCTCCGTCTTCTTGTGCCCAGCAGACATCGGGGAGGACGACCTTTGTCTCGGGCAGCGGGAGGTCGAGCTCCCCAACATGAAAGAAGAAGAGCAGGAGGAGGATGTCACCGCCTTTCCTTTGACTATCATTGTGAAGAGTGAAGAAGGTGATGAAGACCACGTTGGAGGGTCCCAATCAGACGCTCTCTTGGCGCCACGCTCGGATAGTGATGACTCAACGTCACACTCGCGGGACACTGATGACGGTGAACCCTCAAAAGGTGATGTGTCGTGTCACGCTGACAAAAAGCACGTGAAATGCTCGCAGTGTGACAAAACGTTCGACAGAAAGTCACTGTTGATAAGGCACACCAGAACCCACACCGGAGAAAAACCATTTGCTTGCTCACTTTGCGGTAAAAGATTCTCTTTAAAGACAAATTTAACAATGCATACCAGAACACACACTGGGGAGAAACCCTTCGCTTGCTTCGTCTGCGGTAAAAGATTCGCAAAAAACACAAACTTAACAATTCACACGAGAACACACACCGGAGAAAAACCTTTTGCCTGCTCATTTTGTGGAAAAAGATTCACTCAGAAGGGCGATTTGACAATGCACACAAGAACGCACACCGGCGAAAAACCTTTTGGCTGCACAGTGTGCGGTAAACGATTCACCGAAAAGAAAAATTTAACCACCCACACTCGGACGCACACCGGTGAGAAACCTTTCAACTGCAGCGTGTGTGACAAAAGGTTTTATGTCAAGCGCGAGGTTAAGCGCCACAGGTGCGCCGGTGACAAGAGCGCCAGTCCTTGAAGCTGTGCAAGAAACTGAGGCTGCGCTCTGTGCTGCCAATCGCCGACCTTTCCCCGACACGTTTAGCACACGATGCCCTGGAATCTCTGTTTCTGAATGACACGGCTTTCGAACACGCTTTTTGGGAGGGGTTTGGAAAGAGTCGTGATGCAGACGCGGGCAAGGATTCTCTCGTGTGTGGCTCAGGCATTGCATGTACAGTAATGCGACTGTCGCTTTGTGGTTTTATTTAAAAAAAAAACTTAACAGAATCCCTCCAAAGAAAGTGACAACGATGAGCGGTAGTGTCAAGTGGGAGGCCTACTTGCATTATTGTCAGAATAAAAAAGGAAAATGTTCTCTTTGCCTGCCATTTGATTTTTCAAAAGCGACCCGCTGTAATCATGCTGTAAGTGGGATTTGTAGCGTACCCGGATTGGTTTTGTAGATATTTGGTTCTCTTTTAGTTGGCTTACATTTGAAAAATAGGGGTGCATCGCTGACAGCCGGGATAGGCTCCAGCACGCCCGGCATCCTTGTGAGGAGAAGCGCATCGGAAAACGGATGGATAGATGGGGTGCACCGATCAATCGGAATCGGTGCCGATTTCCTTCATTTTGGGGCATCGGTGATCGTCCGATCCCTTGAAATAAAAACGCTCTTACGTTTGGTGCCGGCCAGAGACTTCCGCAGACGTTCCTCGGCGTAAGTGCACGCGCGCCACGAAAGACTTCCTCCTGATTCGCACTGAAGCCTCGGCAGTCGGCGGAGTACTCCTTTTTTTGAATCTTTATTCAGCAAATCACATTACAATTCACAGTAAACAAAATGAACAAGTTATGACAACATGTACAGAATACGTAGAGAGAAACAGAAAGAAGAGCCAGGGGATTTGAAACAAAAATTCCAAATAAAGAGCATACATAGCCAGAGTCTGAACCGCTTTCTTGTTTTTGGAGTCCATAAGAGAGTTCGGGTACTGCTCAGTTTCTACTTCAAAGATTCAGGAAAGTGGTTTTGAACGTCCACATTTCAATTTGTGGACATAGAATGGAGCTTGAATCATTATTAAATTGATCATAAAGACTTGTTTAGACTTTTATTCATTGTTATTGAAGAAGCCAAACAGTGTATTTTTCCATTAAAGCCTAAAGTCAGAGTCACTATGATCAATCAGAAATCGGCAAATAGCGTTCCAAAATGTGTTGGGATACGGACATCGGCCAGAACAAGCGAATCATCCTTTCGGGGGACATTCCACAAAGCAAACGATCAACACAGAGGTCTTTCTTGAACAGAAGAAGAAGATCACGCGTGGTGGGACAGTGTGGCGGAGTATTCCCCCCCCCCCACCCCATTCCTTACGTTCCTGGAGGAAATCTCTGTGGTGGGCCACATCGTCTCGGTTCATCTCGAAGCTTCTCGAGCGCGTTCAGCTTCGCTCGCTCGCCGCTGACAAAAAAGACGCGTTGACGATCGGGGCCCAGGTCGAGCGACGATCCCGCGACGATGTGTGCAAGGCGTGTCAAAGGAACAAGAAGAAGACGACCGCGGCGAGGAACTTTGCGCAGCAAAAGAGGACGTCGAGCGACGAGGTCCACGAGTGGACGCCGATTTCAACGAGCCTCAAGATGCGTTATGCACCGTCCGCGGGTGTGTTCGGTCGGGAGTGTTGAGCCAGCCATTGCGGTTCCGGCCAATCGCAGCAACGTCTTGCGCATTTGGCCCAGAGGTGAGCCGTCGTCCGCTCTCTCGCTACCTCAACTCCGCCCGCTTTGGAGCTCGCAGGCGTCGCCCCCTGAAGGAAAACTCGCTCAACGCGGGGAGCCTCGAGCGGCTCAATGGCGAGAAAAAAAGAAACCGCTCTTTTGGAAGATGAAGTTTCTCTGCTTTTCATATCAATCACGGATAGTAGAGGGGTTTGGCGCAACCAATTTCAACACATCCATATCTGCATAAAATGATAGCCTCTACTCAAAGACAAAAAGAAGGAAGACGACAATGAAGATAATGCTGCAATTCTGTCCTGGCATGCGGGCAAGAAAAGCAACAATCCTGATTCCCTTTCAGCTGTTTATTCGTCTGCATTCTCTCAGACACAACGTAGCCTGCATACGGTACAAGTGCATGGAGTCGCACGTTGACAACTTGGCGTTTAATCGGGATCACGCGCGCACTTTTCCATCACATCAGCCCGACTGAACATTTCTTCGCTTGATTTGATACACGCGAGACATTGGACGGCGCGGATCCTTTACTTCAAGCGTTTCTGAGCCGCCATTGGCTATTGTTGACACCAACCGGACCACGGGAAGCTTGAAGAATGTGCCCCGAATTCGTCATTGCACACATCAACAGCCTGCCGAACTCCAAAGACAATCATCAAGATAATCCGAGAGACATCCAGGAGCATCTTTTCTATTGGGAAAACGCGAGACCCCGCTGATATTGACATTTGCCGTCAAAGGAAGGGCGGACTTGGATTGGCTTTGGTTGCAGCTGAGGCTCCGCCGGTGGCTGGCTGAAAGTGACGCAAGTTTCCCAAGCGTCGGCAGGCGGGCATGTCACGGCCTTCTCGACTTACTGCGTGTGTGTTCTCGTGTGGCTCGTCAAATCATCTCTGCGAGTAAAGATTTGGCCACAAATTGAGCAGGTGAAGGGCTTCTCCCCAGTATGTATTTTGGTGTGGATGGTCAAATGTCCCTTGTAAGAGAAACTGTTGCCGCAAACGGCGCAGGCGTAAGGTTTCTCGCCAGTGTGCGTTTTTAAGTGTTCCCTCAAATCTTTGTTTTCAGAGAAACTCTGACCACAGATTGCGCACGCGTACGGTCTCTCACCGGTGTGAGTCCTAGTGTGCACGGTCAGTTGACTTTTATGGGAGAATCTTTGAGCGCACAGAGAGCAGGCAAAAGGTTTCTCCCCCGTATGTGTTCTGGAGTGTATCGTTAAGTTTCCCTTCAGAGAGAATCTCTGACCACAGTCCGAGCAGGAAAAAGGTTTCTCCCCACTGTGGATTCTGGTGTGATTTCTTAAGTCTCTCTTGACGGAGAATCGTTGGCCGCAAACTGAGCAGGCAAAAGGTTTCTCGCCGGTGTGCGTGATGGTGTGTTTTGTCAAATGACTCTTATACGCGAACCTCTGACTGCAAACCGAGCAGGCAAAATGTTTCTCACCGGTGTGTATTCTCATGTGCCGTTTCAAAACCCAGCGGTCCGCAAAGGTTTTCCCACACTGACGGCATTTACAGCGCTTGCTGTCGGTATGAAATGCCGTCGCAGCTTCATCAGATTCATCGTTGTCGTCGTCATCGGTGTGTGACGTCGCGGGGTCGCTATCTGATAATGGAGCGAGGAGGCCATCTGTTTGTGACGTGCCATCACCTTCTGCTGTCCCCCGTTGATTTGAGCTCCCGCCGCCGCTGAGAAGCCCCGCCGCCCTGCTCTCCCAACGTTGACCTTCATCCTCACCATCTTCGCTCTTCAAAGGGGCAAAGGTCACGGGCCACCCTGTGAGATCCCCCTCTTCCTCTTTTAGGTGTAGGGGCTCTTCATCCTGTTCCTGTTTCATGCCAGGAGACCGCAGCTGCGCTTCCCCTTGATTGCGGAGAGCCTCTTCCTCCTCTGCTTTGGATGAACAGAAGAACAAGGTCAGGACCTCTTGGAAATCCCAGCGCGCATCAAAACAGAAGCGGTAGCAGTCATTGAGCTCAGGCTAACTTTGTCAAATCAGGACTAAACAGCATGCGGTAACATGCGTCAAGTGAAGCGGGAAGAAAACATTCTTGTTGCTAAGGTTTTATTTGCTGATTCGTATTGTCAGGTTCAAATTGCCATTTTTCACGAGACACTCTCCGTTGATGACAGAACAAATGTGCAGTATTTGGGTGCCACTGAGCCACCAATGAAGGAGGCAAGATTTTTCAGAAGGCCAGTGGGAGCCTCATTTTATCGACTACCAATTTTATGATACGACCGGTCTGAGCACTTTTCTGTTTTCCTTTTCAGACCCTGACCAACCTACTGGAGTGTAAGACTAATTTTTTCCTTCGTTGCAATTGTTGAATTTCATGATGACCGATGAAACATTTTTCTACTTGTTTTCACTTTTTTAACCTCTCACAACAGAGGATTTTTTTTAGCTCTATTTATTCTGAGTCAAGACCGTCCAAAAAAATTCAAAAAAAGGAGGCCATTACCCGCATGCCGTTTGTGAATACATCCGTTTGGAAGCGATTCTTGCATTTCTTTTCATATTTGCATTCGACTAATAGCGTTTGATGTTTCAACATGATGATGTCATTTTCGATCATGTCTGTACCCGTCACGGCACATTGTGACGACCGCATGACGGAAGCCCGATTTGAAGAAAATGGCAAATCCGGATCTTTTTTTTTCCACAATCGTTCCAGGAGTGTGACATGATGTCATCACTGTTTGTTGATCATGAAGCGAAGTGCCCGTCGGCCCTCCTTCACCTTCTTCACTCTTGACGACGATGCCAGTCGATGGAAACGCTGTGATATCCTCCTGCGGCTGGCCATCCTGAATTTGAGGGCGATCGGGCTCCCGCTGCTCAAAATGAAGATCCTCTTCCGTGCAGTCTGCCAGACACAAGCACACACGCTTTGCTCAAGTGCAACTTCGACGAGCGGGACCTGGTTTAACAAGGCGGATAGGATGTAAAGCAAGCCCAATGTGCTGTAACTGAGCCAACAGGATTTCCTGGAAATGATGTTTGACCTCTGCACAGTGAGCGAATTGAGCACTAAGTCAATTCTTACAAAATATTTAACCGCTGTGATGGCTATATCTATGAGACCCATTTTTTTTTTTTTTTTTTTTGCCATTTTAGATTTACTCGGAACGTCTTTTTCTTTCGACTTTTAGATCTACGTTTTCTAGTTACGGGTCGTTGCCAAAAGGCAAGGCGCTGGGATACCGAAGGTGAGGAAAAAACGACGCCGACAGCGATCATGATTAAAAATACAAAATCCAGGACTACTGTGAAGCAATGAAACGCGTGTCTCGTAAACAATTGCGAGTGCGAAGTGAAGCAACCTTTTCCGCGGGGCTCCACTCGAGACTTCTTGCAGACGGCGTCCAGTCGTTGTTGACCTCGTCGCTCGCTCGCTTTCTGCGCACAGACTTCCTCCTCGTACTCTTCTTCTTTCACGCGTTTCGCGCACATTTTCACACGAGAGTGAACAAGGTTCGACACTCGAACTTGTACTTTGCGTTGATAACTAGCGTGTGTCTTTGTTAGCTGCCAGCGAGCTAAGCTAAGTCGTCAGAAGTTCCGACGTGCACTGAGGGGACTTTATCCGGATAGAAATATGAAAGTATGAATAATAGATGCTTCTCTCTCTATATCTTCTAATGTAGCGATGGGCGTCCAGCGTTGGGTTTTATAGTAGGTTCCAAACTGTGCTGGTAGGAACTTCAAAACACGAAAGGCGCGTCATCAAAACGTTATGACTTCCCGTGACCTTTAGCGTAACATCCGGTCGCGGAACGCCTTGGGATGGGCACGGCTGCCATCTAGCGGAGAGAGCGGTACACAGCACTTACCGGACTTTGTGATACAAGTCACTCCTCGCGATCACGTGCCCGAGGAGAACTACAGTACCCGCCAATTCAAGTGTTTCACCATGCGCGACCTTCTGTGCGGTGTTATGTTGATCTCCTTTCGTTGAGTCTCCCTCCCGCATTGCTTCACAAATGTGGTTTGTCTAAGTGGGCTTGCCGTACTTCGCCCCGCTCTCTCCGCACTGCACTGCGGTCAAGCCAGCACGCACTCTCCGCCGAGGTGCTTTTGTGGCGTGCAGTTCGGGTAACTAAACGTACTTCATTCAACGAGTTCCTGAAAACTGCTTAAGGCGCAGAAGCGTTTAGTGGACTAAAAAAATATCATTCGGTGAATATTTGTGCCTGGATAAACTCGCCCGAGGGCAAACTGAAGCTTTTCGGTCTAACTTAGCTTCGCTTACTAGCCGCTAACGGAGTCACGCGCTTGTTCGCGTCGAGACCCGAACGGAAGATTGCGTGTGAGTGAAAAGACTCGGGCTCATCGTGCCAACATGTGTGATAAAAGTGTGAAAGACGAAGATTTCGAGGAGGAACCAAAAGAGGGAGACGAGCGACAACGTCCACGACTGCACGCGCCTTGCAAAAAGCCTCGAGTTGGGTTCCACGGAAAAGGTTTCTCCCCTTCGCACTTTCACTTGCTTACTTATGTTTTCATCGTAATGACCGACAGATTGTGCCCTTTGCTCCTTTAGTACAACAATCTGTGTGACAGGGGTACTTTGATGTACAAGTTTGACCCATTCCGTGATCAAGGCACGAGCTCAATGATACCTTGAGCCACCCAACCTCTTTTTATTCGTTGAAACGAAAACCGACTCGATTTTTTTTATATTTTTTGCGTCAATAACGCAAACAAAAAAAAAAGCACCGCATCGTATAACAAGAAGATACAAACATACCATTCTCGTATTGTTGTGTTCGATTGCGTGCCTTCAAGGGGCGTGGCCTCCCGAGTGACACGACAAGGTGGAGTCAACGGCAGCTCCTTGCAAGAGCTTTCATTTTTTATTTGTGTGTTTGACTGCATGCCCATTTCAGCGAAGGGCTCTCCTTGCCCACATGTGCGCACATTTTATGTTTCTTTTGGCTCACTTGGCATGAGCCGCTGCGTATCAGAAGGTAGGTCGTAAGGTCACCCCCCCCAAAAAAATAAAAATGAAAAAAATTACAAAATCCCTACGAAGGCGTCTGGGTTTCTTGATCCCCGTTGCCAGCTCACTTCTAGGCACGCCCGGTGTGTTTTTGTCAAGAACCGGGCCGGGCAAGCGCACTCCAGAACGACACGCCCATCTCCAGTATCTACTCCTTTGACAAAGTGCCCCTTGTGTTGAAAACAGACACCACGGAACAGAAATGCCTTGTCCCACAGGCTATGTTGACGCCGAATACGTGACAAAACATTTGAAAAGACGTTTGACAAGCTGAAACTCTTCCCCACAATTGCCAGACGTAATGACAGGCAAGGATCGGTACTTGGAATCGGCAGGTAGTGAAAATATCAGAATCTACTATGGGGGCATCGCGAATGATAATAGGTTCTTAATGAGTGATTTTTTTTTTTAATTCAATTTGAAAATGAAGTAGTTGACATTCCTGTTAAAATGCAATGTTTTGTGGTGTAAAGACAAAATAAAAGAAACCAGTGCTTTATTGCAACACTTGGTTCTTTCAGGTAAGAGTCGTTGTAGCAGTTCAGTTGTGGCAACGAGTTTTGCAAAGTTTTTTCTTCTTTGCCAGGACTGGTAACACCAAAGAAAAGTGTTTTTTTTCCCCCAACTCATTCAGCAGACTCGTTTCTTTCATTACTTTGTGTGTTAGTTGAAGCTAACACTTATTTAGAAATGAGTTATCTTTTGGTTCTATCAAGGTTCTCTTATTTCAAAATTTGCGAAGCTCATATCGAACCTTCAAGTCATGACATGAGACTGATCAAAGCATGACGTGACCAAACGTTGTGTTCTTGTCATCTTGTATCCTGTAGACGTCACCGAAGATCTCCGCCCCGAGCGGCAGGAGACGATCACTTCCCACGTGAAAGAGGAAGAGGAGCCAGAGGCGCCACATTTTAAAGAGGAAGAGCAGGAGGACGACATCAGCAAGTTTCCATTGACTTGCGTCGCCGTGAAGATTGAAGAAGATGAAGGTCAGAGTGAGGAGAAGGAAGGGGCGAAGCCTTCAGGCAGCAGCAAGTCACAACTGCCAAGAGCAGAAGGTCACGGAGACCACTGTGGAGGAGAGCTGTCACGCAGCCCCTTAGCTCCACTCTCGGACGGCGATGACGTAACGTTGCACTCTTCGGACACCGATGACGATGATGAACCCTCTCATGTTGGCATGGCGTTTCACACTGACAAAAAGTATGCAAAATGCTCTCAGTGTGACAAATTTTTTTACAGGTCGTCCCTGAAAAGACACTCGAGAACGCACACGGGAGAAAAACCCTTTGCCTGCTCAGTTTGCGGTAAAACATTCTCGAGAAAGGGAGATTTGGGAACACACCAAAGAACCCACACAGGGGAGAAACCATTTGCCTGCTTATTTTGTGGACGCCGATTCACTCAGAGTAACACTTTGACCGCGCACACGAGAACGCACACGGGTGGCAGACCTTTTGCATGTTCGCTTTGTGACAAAAGATTCACTCAGAGGGCAAATTTGATCGCGCACACAAGAACGCACACCGGAGAACAACCCTTTGCCTGCTCAGTTTGCGGTCAAAGGTTCTCCATCAAGGCAAATTTAACAACGCACACCAGAACGCACACTGGAGAGAAACCTTTTGGTTGCTCAGTTTGTGGGCAAAGATTCTCTGTCAAGAGAAATTTAACGAGACACGCAAGAAGACACGCAGGTGAGAAACCAGTCAGTTGCAGTGTGTGATGAAGGAGATTCTGTGCAAGGGGCAGAGTCACAAGCCCGCTCGTGCACACCCTGATCATCAGAAAAGCTACTTTTGGTTTCTTTACTTTTCTCTTAAACGTTTCAAAACTGACTAAGTCTTTTGTTTGTAAATATGTCTCAGTGTCAATGTACTTTTTGGGGAGGGGGTGGGGGGGGCGGTAATTTTAATAAGCCAAGTCAGTTCTCTTAGCTTTGCCTCTGAATGTCTTCAGCTGTTCAGTTTGTCACTGCTTGAAGGAGATGTGCTTTTGCTGGTGTGAAGCACACTCAGTTGCTTTGTGAGCGGCGTCAGCAAAGCTGTGGAATAAAGGAAATTGAACTGACTCCCCCAGTTTTCTTTCTCCCAAATGACCAATCCGGGAAGTTGCTATCGTGGGCTCCATCTGGCATGTTGCCCAAAGAAATCACTCCCTTGCCTTGAGCCTCACGTGAAGTTAGGTGCCGTCCAAAATGTAGATTAGGGAACGTCTCCCAAAGGCTTTCCTCCTACTGCAGAGAGACTTGACGATTCGACCGAGGTTCAACGGCGTTTATCATCCACACGTCCATCGCTCATCAGCGATGGACGTGTGAGCGTTCCCAAAATGACTTTTGCGTCATTGGCTTTGCCCCTCCCCTTCCGCTCCCGATCTACTTCCGGGCACCGTTTGGAATGGAACCGCACGGCTACGCTAAATACATCCCCCCACCCCAGGAATTAGTGACGAAAGTACCAAAATGTCGACGAGACGTCCGTAACGACTGAGCTCAAACATAATTCGTCAAATATTCTTGCCCGGCCGGGTAAACTTATCTCGCTGCAAGTCGGGGCTTCTCGGGCCCGGTTAGCTTAGCTCGGCGTAGCGTAGCGTAGCGTCGCTTTAGCTCAGCAAACAAAGAGACGCGCTTGGTCTGTTCGCAAAGTCAGCGGGCATCAGGCGTGAGTGGAAGGCGTCGTCGGCTGTCGCGCGAAAATGTGCGCAAGGAGCGTGAAAAAGGAAGAGTATGAGGAGGAAATCTGTCGGAGCGAAGAGGCCGAACCACAACGTCGTCGTCAACAAGGGCTTGCGGAGCTCGGGGCAGGTTCGCTCATTTCTTCCTCTCTCGTCTCAATTCGTAGGCGGCCTCGCGTGTTTGAATGCGTCGAATTGCGCACCATCCCCGACGTACTTTTGCCCTCATCTCTTGGACGCGGTGGTTATTTCGCCGTGACCGGCAACTCGAATGGAACCCACGTCAGATTCGCAGGGCCGGGGCTCTCCTTTTGTCGCGATTCACTCGCTAGTCGCCGGTAGGCTTCAATCGCGATGGCCAGGCCGCATCCGCTCTGCGCGCGCTGTCTTGCCGCGAATGCGCTTTGACTTCGACTTTTAATTTGCCGGCGTCTAACCAGAAGGGCAACGGCAACATGAACTTCTTGTAACTTGGGAGCATGGCGATTTTTTTTTCAGATCAGCGGGCACGGAAGCCGATTTCGCTCCCAAAGCATTGGGGGGAAAAAAAGTTCCCCTGTAAACCTGGCTCGTGATACACCGCAGTCAAAGTCATAATCTGGGCTTGAAGTTTGACCTGGCCCATCTCTGTTTTTGTCCGGCAGACATCGGGGAAGAAGATCCTTGGCAGCAGGAGCCCGAGCAGCTGAACACGAAAGAGGAGAAGGAGGCCGAGTTGCTGCACTTTAAAGAGGAAGGGGAGCCCGCCCGCATCAAAAAGGAAGAGCGGGAGGATGAAGTCACCCGGTTTCCAGCGACCGCCGAGAGCGAAGATGCTGACGGAGAAGCCGGAGGACCACCGACGGACGGCCTCATCGCGCCGCTATCCGATGACAATGACGACGATGCTGATGAGGAAGACCCCCAAGGTGACACGACATGCCACGGCGACGGAAGATGTTTTCGATGCGCTCACTGCGGCCAAACTTTTTCCAGCAAGGCGCTGTGGAGAGCGCACGCCAGAACGCACCCTGGGGAAAAACCTTTTGCCTGCTCCATTTGCGGCAAAAGATTCTCCTTTAAGTCCGCTTTACCGGCGCACGAGAGAACGCACACGGGCGAAAAACCTTTTGCGTGCTCGGTTTGCGGTCGGAGCTTTTCCGTCAAGTCCAATTTGACAAAGCACTCCGTCGTGCACACCGGGGAGAAACCTTTCGCCTGCTTGCTGTGCGGCAAAAGATTTACCGCCAAGGACAGCTTAATTCGGCACAGCCACGCGAAAAAACACACCGGCGAAAAGCCCTTCGTCTGCTCGTTCTGCGGTAAAAGATTCTCTTTCAAGTCGAATTTATCAAGACACGCAAAAGAACACACCGAGGAGAAACGTTTTGCCTGCTCACATTGTGACCGAAGATTCACCGATGAGAAACACTTGACGACGCACATCCGAATACACACCGGAGATAAACCTTTTGTCTGCTCGCTGTGTGGTCAAAGCTTCTCCGTCAAGGCGTATTTGGCGAGCCACATGCTGAGACACGCTGGGGAGAAGCCCTTCGCCTGCTCAGTTTGTGGCAAGACATTCACCGAAAAGAAAGGTTTAGACTCGCACGCGCGCATGCACAGCGGGGAGAGACCGTTTGTCTGCTCGGTCTGCGGTCAGAGCTTCTCTCTCAAGTCCATCCTGAACAAGCACGCGCTCAGGCACGCGGAAAACAAACCTTTTGCCTGCTCGGTGTGCGGGCAAACATTTATCGAAAAGAAAAACTTGAAGGCGCACAGCAGCACGCACACCGGGGAGAAGCCTTTTGCCTGCTCGCTGTGTGGCAAGAGATTCACTCGCAAGGCCACTTTGGTGCCGCATGCGAGGATCCACAGCGGCGAGAAGCCCTTCCGCTGCAGCGGCTGCGACCAAAGCTTCTCCCGTCAGGGCCAGATCAAGTCGCATCGGTGCGCCGGACGCGACGGCCGCCTGGAGGCCGGGGCCTAAGCCTCGGCTCGGATCTCTCTCGGCCCGCGTCTTCCAATGCGCCGAGTGACGTCTTCGCGCCGCGCTTGTTCGGGGGCACGCGTTCTTTTACTCTCAATCGTGGTTGTTTGTGTTGTGACTTTCATCGGGGGTCCCTCCTCCCCGTGTGTCCTATGCCGTGATCGGGCATGGAAGGCGCTGAGGGCGAGGGACGCGGTTGACTTTTCTCGCCCGAGTCGCCGCCGCCGGTTTTGTTTGCGTCGCGGAAATCCGGCATGAGCCGTTCCCCCGCGTTTGCTGTTGCGCTTTTTAAAAGGCCATCGTTTGGAATGTTCGTGTCAACCTTCCCGTATGCTCGTGAGCGATGTCACGTCAGTCAACGCTCGTTCGCACTTTTGGCTCGTGTGCCAACTTTTGGAACGACAACGAATGAATTCTTGACCTTGTTTGAAGACCGCATCGAGTGAAACGTCAGGCCTCGGCGTACCGGATCATGTTTGCCGTCTCGTTCCTCATCGGTGTGAATTGCAGACCGCAATCAATCGACCCCCGCCCCCCGGTGGAATCCAAGGCCGTGTTGTCTCACCGGAGCACCCGCATCCGTACCTCACCACTCCGAAATACAATCGGCTGCGTTAGCGACTGCGCCGGCAAACTATTGGCTTCATAGCGAGGTGCAACAAGGACAGCTTTGACCAGCGTTCAGATCGGACCCGCGTAAAGCGCATTTCTGTCACGATTGCAAGGTGGTGGCGGATCCCAAAAAGCAGGCAAGGGGGAGGAGCAGGGTGTACTTGAAAGATTGTATTGATAAAATACAGAAAACTAAATCCAAAACAACACACAAAGTCCAAAGTGTCAAACAAAAACCATGACCGAAGCTAAAACATGGTAACTGAAACCATGACTGAAACAAACATGACAGCAGCCAACAAACCAACAATGACCCGACAATGAGCGGTCGGTCGGTCGGTCGGGAGTCCTTTTAAACGGCTAACGACATAACGACCAACAGGTGTGCAGCTGCAGGGGGAGCCCTACAGTGCCACCTGTTGGTCACAAATCGAAACATGACACTTTCGACGCCGATGGAAAAGAAAGATGGCGATTGTTGTTTTTACAAAAGGGTCCGCTGCAGTTGGTTTTCATGGGCTTTGCAACCGGCCACCTCCAACAAAGGGTGGGACGCCGTGGAGCGTTTTACTTCCAAGGCACATTTTGCCTTTGAACAGATGCGGCTCGGCTGATTGTCAGACGCAAAAGCTGATCAACGGATCGAGCATCTCTCATGAGTCATTTTGAGACGAAATTCCAACGCCGGGTCGAGACCACAAGGCGCTCGGCGAATGGAGCCATGTGCTCTTTGTGTCTTTTCATCACACGACGGGGGAGGGCGGGGGTTGGCTTAGCACGTCGGCCTCCGAGTTTGCATGTCCTCCGCACGTCAGCGGGGATGACTCGAAAAATTGTCCCCAGGTGTGACCGTGAGTGTGAATGGCGGTTGGTCACCGGGTGCCGTTGGCCGTTTCTTTTGATCTTAGTTTGACTGTTTTTGCGCTTTCTACTGTCTTTGTTATTAATGTATTTTGGATTGTTTCTTGTTGTACGTACTGTATGATCTTTTCTCCACGTACAGCACTTTCTAAACAGCACTCGAGAAAGGCCCTCGACTTGAGTTGAGGGCGTCGCCCGCTTGGCGATGGGCAAAGTCAAGCCTCCTGAATCGATGAGACTTTGTCTGTCATGTATCAGCCAGCGGTTCTGTACTCGAGGTTTCATTGGTAGGAGCTCTCCAAGGACCGCTGCTGCACAGCGAGCAGTATTGCACCACATCCAAATGTCGCTTGACTCTAAATTCCGACCGTGTATCGACGTTTGAAAAAAATCGTCATAAACACTGTCCACACTCCGCTGCAAATAACCCGAATGACTCAACTGTACGTGTCTACCTATCAATCTAGTTAGCTAGCTATCTGTCTGTCTATCTCTTCGTATATCATCTTGATCTTTTAGCCGCTGATTTCGCATCGCCCCATTTTGGAGGTTGTGTTTCCTGAATAAATCCCGATGACAACAACTCTCTGGGCTGCTGTTATTTTTCTCTCCTTGGCACTGAAATGATTTTGAAGGGCCTACCGGGTTGGTCCGAAGTCACCGTCGCTCAAGGTGGCTTGAGGGTTACTTCCCGAATATCCATTCGTTGTTCCAGGCTGAGGTTTCTTCAAAAGCGTGCCTGAACCGCGATGGCATCTTTTTTTTTGCGGCACGGTGAATTCTCCGTGACGAACTTTGTGCAAGATGTGTGATGTTTATGAGGATTTTATTTTTCGCTTTCTTTGTCAAGGGAAACAAAGTCACGAGAGAGGAAACATTTATCAAATCAGACTTATGACTTAAGGTCGACTCCCCAGCACTTTTTTTTTCTATATAACCACGTGGGTTCCCTAAGTACTTAGTCCTGACTTAGAGGACTAAGTACTAAAACAAAGACAGGACGTCCGTTACTACAGAGCAAGAACAAACTCGTCTCCGGGCGTGAGTGTCAAGTTTTGACGATTGTCGCGTGAAAATGTGTGCAACGAGCGTGAGTGAAAAAGGAAGAGTACGAGGAGGACATTTGTCGGAGCGAAGAGCCCGAGCGACGACGTCACCGACAGGAGGCGATTCGCGAGCAGCCTCGAGTTGTGCTCGACGCCGCAGGTTGGCTCGCTTCTTCCTCTCGCTATTGTTTACCAACCAGTGTCATTGAGTTAACGTATTCTTGTGGGTTTTTTATGGTGTTATTGATCATAATCACTCGAATGTCTGCCATTCTTATTTTCGTACTACAGTGAAACTCCTTTACAACGAAATCATGTTTACAGCAAGACATTTTTCACAACGGGGCTTTTCACTGTAGCAAATTAGATCTCAGATGTAAACAGACACACAAAACGTATGTGTACTCTATTTTCATTCCAATACGTAGTGCATAAATATCAGCATACACTTATTTGACACTTCATATATCTAGTGTAGAAAGAAAAAAACGATCAGCATGCACTTTCACTTACATCAGTTTCTTGCATGTCTTTTACTTTGCTTTCTCCATCTTTCATTTTTCTTACTTTTATCCTGTCTTCAAGCGTGAATGCTTTTCTTTTCTTTACTCCTTGGTCTGCAAGCCATTTTAGCAATGCAACGTTTGTGCTGCGTCTGAAACTAACAATAACAAATACTTCCTGCATGTGTAAACCAGTGTGGTGGTTGCTGTTGCCGTTTCCGAACGAAGCAGCAGAGGTCGCTGTGACATGCTGAGGTTGGATGAGACTTTTGCGGAAGGCTTGTTTTCATTGTAGTGAATCGCGTTGGGAGGCAAGAGCAGAGAAAAATATTTCATACAACGGAAGAGGGGGATTTTTCGTCGTAGGGGAAGCAAAAAAGTGGGAATGGCTTTCATGCATGAACATTTTTTCACACTAGGGGGTATTTTCGCCCATGTAGGTTTCGTTGTAGAGGAGTTTCACTGTACGTGTAATGTATCCATCACATCTTGTTTTTCCGAGTGGAATTCGTTCCGTGGCCAAGCACGCAACTAAAAAGTGTTTGCCCACTTCCAATTCATTCAAGACGTTTTCCATCTGTTCCACTCCCAGAGAACAACTTCTTGGTTTCTGGTTTGAGGGGGAGTCAAGTCAAGGCAAGCTGACACAGAGCTAGAGAACAAGAATAGTTAAAAAAAAAAAGACAAAAGAAGAGCAACATGAATGTGGCATTCATAGCCATGTTGAATGTATGTGAACTTCTGCCCCATGGAAACAGTACATGACACCACGGTTCTTCTCTCACTAATGAATTCATTTATTTCACATCTTTACAAAATCAAAATCCCAGCTGTTTTTTTCTTCCTGTCTCTCGATCACACACACACTTGCACAGATTAATGTGTCGCAAAAAATTTGTTAAGATCAACTCTTGTCGGCAACGCACTTGTGCCTCTTCACATGGTGCTTACTCGAGAATCTTTTATGGCACACGCTGCAACTGAAGGGTTTCTCCCCTGTGTGTGTTCTTGTGTGTCTTTTTAAATTTGCCTTCATGGAGAATCTCTGATCACAAACTGGGCAGGCAAAAGGTTTCTCCCCAGTGTGCGTTCTTTGGTGAGCTGTTAGATTGGCCTTCAGCGCAAACCTTCGACCACAAACCGGGCAGGCAAAAGGTTTCTCTTCAGAGTGAATGACTGTATGTGCGATGAAATCTCCGTTCAAAGGGAATCTTTGACGACAGACTGAGCAGGCAAAAGGCTTTTCCCCACTGTGCGTCTTTGTATGCGTGGCCAAATTTGTCTTGACAGTGAATCTTTCATTACAAACGGAGCAGGCAAAAGGTTTCTCTCCGGTGTGCGTCCGTGTGTGTCTTGTTAACTCTGTTTTTAAAGTGAATTGTTTCTCACAAACTGAGCAGGCAAAATCTTTCTCTCCGATGTGCCTTTTCATGTGCGTTGTCAAATTTTTCTTCAGCGTGAATCTTTTCTCACAAAGCAAGCAGGCAAACGGTCTCTCGCCAGTGTGCGTTCTCGTGTGTGCGGTTAAATTTTTCTTCAAGGCAAAGCTCTTCTCACAAACCGAACAGGCAAAAGGTTTCTCCCCCGTGTGCGTCCTGGCGTGCTTCCTTAAGTTTCCCCGCTGGGAGAATCGTTGATGGCAAACGGAGCAGGGATAAGGTTTCTCACCCGTGTGTGTTCTCGTGTGTGTGTTTAAGTCTCTCTTGGAAGCAAATCTTTTGCCACAAACTGAGCAGGTAAAAAGTTTTTCCCCAGTGTGCCTTCTCACGTGTGTCTTCAAACTCCCCTTGTGACGAAGTATTTTTCCGCAGAGAGAACGTTTCACGCGTGTGTCGTGCGAGTCACACGTCACATCGCCTTCGGACTGTTCGTTGTCAGTGTCGCATGAGTGTGACGTGGGGTCGTGACTATCAGAGAGCGGCGCTAAGAAGCCATCCGATTGGGATCCTCCGTCACCTTCTTCTGTCACGTATTGACTCGAGCTGCTGCGTGGAGGCTCTGCCCCTCCGCTCTCCGCACCTCCAACTTGGTCTTCATCTTCTTGGCTCTCCAAGGGGATGAAGGTCAACGGCAACATGTTGAGAGCGTCCCGCTTTTCCTCTTGAATGCGGGCGTACTCGGGCTCCTCCACTCCGACATTGTGAAGGAACTCCTCCTCGTCTTCCTCTTTAATGGCAGGGCGCTCTGGCTGCACTTCCACTTCAACGAAGGGGAGGTCTTCCTCCTCGTGACGGTGGGGCCACCGTGGTTCCCGGTGCTTGGGATCAAGGTCTTCACTCACCCCTGCGGGACACAAGAAAGCAGATAAGACGTGCGATAGATTTGCGACCGCTTGGCCAGTTCACCCACCATGAAACGAGACCTGGGTCTCGTCTAGTCTTTTCCCGGGGTAAACCCGAATGACCCGACGAATCCACCTCGTTGCTTCCCAAGACGCTCGCGCACCCAAAGGAGAGGAAGTGACCGCACCTGCTCGGTGGCGGAACACCACTGCAGCTGGTGGCCGCTCGAAAACTGCGTCCGGTCCAGTCGTGAACGTTGTCCGTCGCTCGCCCCACAGATTTCCTTTCGGCAGTCGCCTTCTCTCACACTTCTGTCACACATTTTTACGAGACAGCCACAATGCGCACTCGACGTCAGCGGCGAGCAAGCTAAGCTATCCTGAGTGGCTCCAACGTGCACCGAGACCAGTCAAGGAGCGCCCGAAGATTGAGTGAATGTGCTGGCTGGAGTCTTTGGCACTCTAAGCGTAGTACTGGAACACGCCAAATCCGTCCGAAGGTTTTCGTTTCCTCTGCAACTTCGACCTCACCTCCGCTCACTAAACTCGATTGCCCCTGGCAATCCTCGCCATCTAGTGGTAATGGCCGCACACAACACGTGTCAACGCGTCTCCCGTGTTCGGAACCCTGAGTACAGTCGAAAGGTTTGCTGCGGGCGGCCTGGAGTGTGGATCATGCCTGACGTGAAACATAAAGCAATCCTATTCATCAGCTGGCCACAGATCGTTTTTTTTTTCTTCCTTTCTCTTCATAGGCACGTACTCGAATGGGAACGTGGGCCATGCTCCCATAGTCACGCGTCGCTGATGACAAATGTCAAGTCCGTGCGACATGGACAAGAGTTTTTACTGGAATCAATTCCTCCGTGCCCATTTTAGATGTCACATTCGTCACATTTCCACTCCACCGGTGAGCCTCACCGAGCAGGGGTGCAGGCAGGGTTCCATTCTGGCCTGCGGACCATCCGTGCAGAGTTTGCACTCCGCTGTCCTCGCACACTCCAAAAACACGCGCGGCAGGTTCGTGGAACGTGCTAAATTGTCCCGAGGTGTGATTGCAAATGGTTATTTAGTCTCTGGCTACGGTTCAGATAATCCATCATCTTCATTTTGTTTTCACGGTTTACGATGTCACTAAAATACCCCCCCCCCTGCCCCAGAACATCTAGTGCGCTTCACCTCTGCGCACCTGCGTCACGACATGAGTCTCGCAACAGAGGGCGCAACAGCAAGGCTCTTCTGTCACTGGTAAATTGTTAAACTTTTCCAGCTTAGCACAGAGCCAGTCGATGCAGAGCGTCACTGATTGCCGTTAACGCTTCCCCCTACACTTGTGTTTTTTCACACTTTGGTTACTGGTGAATCTCCGATCGCACACGCTGCAACGAAACGGTTTCTCGCCAGTGTGCGTTCTCGTGTGTCGCATCAAATTTGCCTTGACCGTAAACCTGTGATTGCAAACTAAGCAGACAAATGGCTTGTCCCCGGTGTGCGTTCTTGTGTGGACTTTTAAGGCTCCCTGATGAGTGAAGCGTTTCTCGCAGACTGAGCAGGCAAAAGGTTTCTCGCCCGTGTGCGTCCTTACGTGCGCCGTTAAATTGGTCTTCGACAAGAAGGCCTTGCCGCAATCTGGGCATGCAAACGGTTTTTCTCCAGAGTGTATTTTGGAGTGCATAATCAAATTGGTCTTCCGACCGAATCTCTCCCCGCATATCGAGCAGGTAAAGAGTCTCTCTCCGCTGTGCGTTCTCGCGTGCCTCGTTAACGTCGTCTTTCTACAGAAGCGTTTCCCACAGAGCGAACAGGCAAAAGGTTTCTCGCCGGTGTGGGTTGCTGTGTGACTTGCCAAATGCGCCTTCTCCGAGAACCTTTTCCCACAAACTAAGCAGGCAAAGTTTTTCTGCCCGGTGTGAGTTCTTGCGTGTGTTCTTAAGATCCCCCTCTGGGCGAATCGCTGGCCACAAACGGGGCAGGCAAACGGTTTCTCGCCAGTGTGCATTCGTGCGTGGCAGATTAAACTTTCCTTGACAGTGAATCCTTTCCCGCAACTCGAGCAGGTAAAAGGTTTCTCTCCAGTGTGTCCTCTCACATGTATTTTTAAGTTCCACTTCACACTAAATGTTTTCCCGCACTGGGAACATTTCCAGCGTTTGTTATCTCCATGATTTTCCTCCTCCTTAATATGAGATTGTGAGGTGACATTGTCACGATCAGACAGTGGCGCATCGAGGTTGCCAGGTGGGGATTCGCCATCACCTTCGCTTTTCCAGTGTTGACTCAAGTTGCTTCTTGGCGGCCACTCCCCTCCGCTCGCCTCCCTTGCACCTCGGCCTTCATCCTCTTCAGTCTTCAGGGGGACGAAAAGGAGCGGCGACGTGACGAGAGCCTCCTCCTCTTCCTCTTTCATTTGAGTGGGCTCTTCCTTGACAGCACGAGGGGGCTCAGGCTGCACTTGCCTTTCCATGGCGCGCGCTTCCTCCGCCGTCGACGGTTTTCAATGACGTCTGCAGGACACGAGCAGACAAACAGCCGTTTGGTTGAGTCAAGTGGCTATTTTTTTTTTCTTTTGATCAAGAACAAGGAAAAGTCTTGTCTTTGTTTATCGTTAAAGCTCACTTTCTAATCCGTATGTTGGTGTAGCGCTAAAACGGGGGTGCCCAAGTCCGGTCCTCCAGAGCCCCTCTCCCACCTGTTATCAATGTTTCCCTCCTCTAGCACAGCAAAGTCAAAATGGCACTGTGAGGGAGCGGACTTGGGGCCCGCCCTGCACTTGGATGTTCTGGCCGGCACGCTAGCGAGAAGACAACCCCATTTCCCAAAACTTGCGACGGAAAAGAAGAGCTCCGGTCGAGGTGCTCTCATACACGCAACTGAAACACATATTTCAGTAACTTGTTCGAAAAATTTTGCAGTCAATTTTTCCTGCTCTCTTGGCAGACATGTTTGCTTCAATTAAATCCGGTACTGGTACTTTTTTTTTTTTTTTTTTTGCAGCCTGGCCAAACACAGCCATGAAGAAAGCGAGCCCGGGGTGCGCTTTTGTTGAAGCAGTGAGAGCTAACGCGGGTCAAAACAAGTTCCCGTAGCTGAACCGAGTCCAAAAAATCGAATTTAGCTTTAACATCGAAAAAAAGACAAAGTGTTCTTGACTGTATGAATTTTCCCAGAAGAGATGACGTTTTCAGGCCGACAAGGAAGGCATGGACGATCGGCCGTCATCCTGCCGTCACACGAGTCTCTTCGCTCAGGACGCCGACGTCGTACGGTTCCAACTGAAACACATATTTCAGTAACTTGTTCGAAAACTTTTGCAGTCAATTTTTCCTGCTCTCTTGGCAGACGTGTTTGCTTCAATTAAGTCCAGTACTGGTACTTTTTTTTTTTTTTTTTTTTTGCAGCCTCGCCAACCACAGCCACGAAGAGAGTCTCTTCACTCTGGACGCCGACGTCGTACGGTTCTTTTGTCAATGGGTGGCGCTATTAGTCCAGGTCTCGCTACGAGAGACGACGAGAAATGATTGCTGGGAAAATGTGATTTTTCTCGAACGCGCCAAGCTACTGAAGCTAAGTGCGCATCGACTTCATGTAGGACAAGCCAGAAGCCGCGGGGGGGACGAAGCTGTTTTCCCCGGCCGGCCGCGGCCGCCATTGTACCGTCATGAGAAATGATTGCTGGGAAAATGTGATTTTTCTCAAACGCACCAAACTACTGAAGCCAAGTGCGCATCGCCTTCATGTAGGACAAGCCAGAGGCCGCGGGAGGGGGGGGGGCGAAGCGGCTTTCCCCGGCCGGCCGCCATTGTACCGTGGACAGTTCATTTTTCGGCATTGACGACTGTTCCCGAGCCCAATTTCGCTGCTATAAATCGAATCAGTTGCGGTTCGTTTTCGCGGAGCTCCCACGCAGCAACCCTCTCGACGCTCGCTGCTCGATTACCGACACCTCTTGGAAAGTCGGACCCAAAGAGGAGAGCGTCAAAAGTGGAACCTACCTCCGCCCGCCCTTCTGTCGTCCCGGCGCCTTTTCTTTCGCTTCCACGAACACTTAGCTGTGCTCAGCGATCACCACGGCTAGCAACCTTAGCTTAGCAATCCGAAGAGGCGAGTTTATCCGGACACCGAAGCGTCATCGTTCCTGCTTTAGCCCGGCAAAGTTGTGACGGGCCTTTGGGGCCTTGCAAGTACATTCGGCACCTCCAGCGTCGAAGCTAGCAGCTCAGGCCGAAGTCCGTTTCGAGTTCCTTTCCCCTTTCATACAACTTCCGCTCAAGGAAGTCCACGACCAAGGCGGTACTGCCATCTAGAGGTCATAAAGAGCACCCGGCACGTGCGCTCTGACGTCCCCCAGCCAGAGAACGCTTTGCAGACGTGTCGTGTGGTAAACATTTTGACAAATGAGGCGGCAGCTGGCTCTTAAATGTTGCTTTAAATGAAGCCGCGGTTGTGGGAGGGGGATGAGGACACGTCTGACCCTCAAAAGCATTCTCCAAAGTGGACGAGCAATCCAAGTACTGCAGCCTGCGGTACAATGAAAAAAGGAGGACAAACGCCAGAGATGAAGGCGAGTGAGAGGTGGCTGTCGCTACCCCGGTTGAATCACACGAGGTCTCTTCAGCGGAGGGCTCGCAACTTTTATTCAACAGCCGGCGTGTGAACACACCGGAAGAGCTCACGGGAATACAAGCTCAACGGGAAATACGATTCATCACTCCGACGGTTTGTTGTGCACGTCCTTTGACGTAACCTCAAGCATATGTCAAAAATGAATGACCTTCAGCTTCACTTATGAGGCTTTGTAGCCTCGGCAAAGCAGCGCTTACTGCAGCGCTGCTCTCTGTACGTCTTACGTGTCAAAAAAAAAAACAAAAACGAGTTCTTTTTCACGAAATCATTCCTTCCGAATGACCACTTGAAGATACGATGTAGAACGGTCCATCTCTACTTAATTGGACAGAAAATATTTTGCTCTTTGATGCAGTAACACAAGGCCCGCCAACCACTGGACCACCGGGCCGCCTCAACTATACTGTATTGTGTACAATCTAATTTCCCCGTTTTAGGGAATACTTCTCTGAAGAGCAGCGCAGCCTCTTTTTTTTTCTTTTCTCTTTCAGCAGCTTCATTGCTGGCTGCTCTTTTCGCCAGCACATTTGTGTCTCTTCACGTCACGCTTGAAATGAAACCTTTTCTCGCACACACCACAACTGAATTGTTTCTCCTCAGCGTGTGTTTTGGAGTGCGCTGCTAAATTTGTCTTTCGGTTAAACGTTTTCCCACAGACGGAACAAGCAAAAGGTTTCTCACCGGTGTGGGTTTTTGTGTGCCTTGTTAAATTGGTCTTTTGAGTGAATCGAAGCCCACATACCGAGCAGGCAAAGGGTTTTTCCCCGGTGTGTGTTCTTTTATGTGTCGTTAAAATTGTATTTCGAGAGAATCTTTGACCGCAAACTGAGCAAGCGAAAGGTTTCACTCCAGTGTGTGTCCTTGTGTGTATTTTCAAATCTTCCTTGATGGAGAATCGTTTATGGCAAACTAAGCAGGCAAAAGCTTTTTCTCCATTGTGTCTTCGGATGTGCCTCGTTAAGTTTGTCTTGATCGAGAATCCTTTCCCACAAATTGAGCAGGCAAAAGGCTTCTCTCCGGTGTGTGTCCTCGTGTGTCTTTTCAATGTCGACTTATTGTAAAATGTTTTGTCACACTGGGAACATTTCACACGTTTGGTGGGACACATCGTAGCACCTTTGGAGGGTTCCGGTTCCTCCTCCTCCTCATCATCATCATCTGTGTCAGGAGCGTGTGACGTGGCGTCGTCGCTGTCTGTCAGCGGCGCGAAGAAGGTGCCTGATGCAGATCCTCCACGGGGCTCTCCATCAGCTTCCTCCTCATCCTCATCTTCACTCTTCACAATGACCGTCAGTGGAAAGTGGGTGACGTCGGCTTCCTGGTCTTCCTCTTTAATCAAAGTGGAATCCGGCGCCTCGCCTTGAACGTGAGCGGGGTCCGGCTCCTCTTCCTCTTTTATGCGGAGGGGCTCCGGCTCCTGCTCTTCACAGCGAAGCTCTTGGCTGACGTCTGCAGGATATGAGAAGACAAAAACACAGGTATCAAGAAGGTCACGCTTGGCCCAATCAAGGCTCACGTTGCGACTTGGACACCGTGTTGTTATTTCTGATCAATGTCTTCCAGGTACATGTACGATGACGTTTGGAGAATTGGCGTTTATGTTCCTCTTCAGGGAACCTCAGCAGCGCCGTAGTCGCAGTTCGGACATTCCCGCAATTTGTTTTGACTATTCTACTGAGGCGTTATCATGTATGTCAGTGAATCTCACGAACGACGCTTTGCTGTTCTCGACCAGAGCTGGCAATGTCTTCCTCAAAATGAATTTGGTGGCATCTTAACCTCCGGTGTCACTTTCAATGGTGAGATTCAAGATTTGCAATTGGTGCCGACGCCCCCCGGATCCACACAACCACGAGGGGGTGCCATCAGATCCACCTACGGCAGCACGGATTTCATGGGTTTCGAGAACGCGATGAGGAGTCCATTCAAAATCAAGCACGCGTTCGGGAGTTCGGAAGCGAGAGAGCGTCAGAAATGTGCAAACCTGCTTCGTGGAACCCAACTCGGGGCCTTAAAACGGCGTCCGGTGGGAATGTTTGACGTGGTCGCCGCTTCTTTTCTTTTCTTTCGCAGAGTTCCTCCGCGCACTGCGCTGTTGGTTGTGCACACATTTTACGCGACGATCACACTCGTCTATTTGCTCTCCGCGACATGAGCCGCGTCGGCTCCTCTTCGACAGCGGCCAGCCTGCTAAGCTAAAATAGCTGAAACGGCTTCACGAACCGAGACGAGTTGCTCCCGACGCGAAGACTCGAAGAACGGTGTCTTGGTCTGGTGACGTTCAAGTCGTTGTGGTCCTGCTTTGTCGAAACTTCGCGGCGCTCCAAACGGACTCCGTAATGAAGCGCATCGTGTCGATAGTTTTAGCACTTCTGCTAATGCGGCGACGCGGGAGGACTTCCGGGTCGGGAGGGGGGCAAGATTCGGAGACTAGAGAGGCTACGTACCGTTTAAGTGTCGGCGACGCAGACAGCGTCCTCATCGGCTCATACGAGTTGGCGGTCGGTGCAAAATGAAATCACAATGTTGTCACTTTCCAGGTGTATGGAATGATACTGTCCACTTCTAATTGTGTATTTCCTTAACTCTAAACTCGACATACCGTATCCACTTGCATCGCTATATTTTGAAACCAGACACCAAGCTCCTTCGAAATAATCTTAGACCAGGGTGAGGTCGGCATGTTGTCATATTTGGCCTTCGGCGAGCAAGTCCGGTGGCGTGAAGCGCAGCTTTTCGACCTCATGCGCGATGCAATCCACCGTTGGCTGGACTTGTTCGGGATTTCCCAAGACCACGCTTCACGAGTAAGTCAAAGACGAAGACCCTGGAACTCAGGTCTTAGTTTGTCTAAGTGGGCTTGCCGTACTAATTACGCGAAAGTGCTACTCTTGTCCGCTTTTTGTTCACTCGTCGCTTTATGCGCGCCATCGAATCATTCCGAAATACTTCCAAACGCCCCGAAGCCTCGACCTAGCACGGCGGCCATCACTGGACAAATACACCCATCATGAACTCTTCGTGTCCGCTCAAAAACTCGTCTCGGTGCACGTCGAAGCTTGTCTGTCGCTCGAGCTAGCTAGGTTAGCTTGCTAGCCGCTAACAAAGAGACGCCTTTGAAAGCTGCGCAGCAATCAACGGAGACAGAGTGCGAGCGTGGCCGTGACCGTGGAAAAAAAATGTGTGCGAACGTTGTGAAAGGGAAGCACGAGGGGGAAGTCTGCGGAGCGAAAGATGACAACGAGCAAGAACGTCGACGACTGGACGCTGATTTCAGGCCTCAAGTTGTGTTCCAACGCGCAGGTTTGTGCATTTCTTTGGCTCACTTCTTCAGTCGCTGCATTACGGGGGTAGAACAAAGTCACCTGTGTGCGAGTAAGTCATAACTGTAAACCGTGGAAACATCGAACAAGTCAAATCGAGTCCGCGCCAAATTTCAAGTCGATTCAAATCATCCCCAAAAACCTCATCGCAGTGGCAAGTCAGGAAAGTGCACACGTTTTAGCACGACCTCGTTCGCAGTCTTTGCGCGCCGTATCACATCAGCAATTCTCTTCGCACACGTAGAATGTTTTTTTGGAAACAAATGCAGATATTTTCATAGCTCCGACATGTGTAAGCACGAGAAACATGCCAGGCTTAGTAGCATTTTTTCAGAGCGCCGTGTAAAGCATTCGGCTGCCATGACCACAGCGTTTGAAAGTGGAAACAAGGATTATATTTTTCATCACACTTTCGAACCTTATTTCTATATGCATGCCAAATGCCAATTCACGTCTTTTGTAATCATTCAAATTTGGCAGAGGTGTTCATAACACTCTTCTCTGTGCTGTGTATATAAGGCATATGTTTTGTTTTTTTGTTTTTTTTTGCTTTACAGTCTTTCATAGTCTTTTACACCCATGTTGGGACAGTGGTCCAGTTTTGTTTTGCACTGTGCAATGACAATAAAGTTCCTAATTCTAAACTGATGTAAAGACAAAACAAAAAGAATTGGTCAGGGAGGCGGCCCCGAGGCGGACAGCGAAACTGAAGGAGCTGCAGGAATTTCTGGGAATCACCGGCTTTTATGCAACAAGACTATTTAATCTTCTTCATATGGCTGGCAAGACGGTAGCTTCCTCTATTGACTTGAGTAAACCTCGTGTGTTTGTCTTCTTGCGTCCTGCAGACGTTACAGGAGGAGACCTTGGTCTCGAGCGGCAGGGGTGGAGCTCCAGGGTGGAGCGGCAGGAGCCGGAGCCCCCAAACATCAAAGAGGAAGAGCAGGAAGCTGAAATCACAGAGTTTCAAATTACAGGCGTGATTGTGAAGAGTGAAGATGTTGACGAGCAAGGTCAGTGATCGCTGCCTCGTTCCGGGCAAAGAGAGGATCAGCATCAACAAGTCCCCATAGGAAACTTGAAAGAGCAAAGCTGGACTTTGCTAAACCGTGCACGTGTGTCGTCTTGTGTCCTGCAGACGTCAGTGAAGAAGATCTTTACCTTCAGCATCAGGAGCCCGACCCCCGGCGTGTTGAGGAGGAAGAGCACGAAGATGGTTTCGCCCAGTTTCCGTTGACTGTCATCGTCAAGAGTGAAAAGGGTGACGAAGACGCATTTGAAAGCGCCCACTCACAGATCCTCTTAGCTCCACTCTCAGACGGCGACGACGTGACAGCACACTCTCCTGACACTGATGCCAATGGTGATGACATGACATGTCACACTGACAACAACAAACACTTGGCATGTTCTCAGTGTGACAAAACTTTTTACAACACGTCCACGTTGAAAAGGCACATAAGAACACACACCGGAGAGAAGCCTTTTGCCTGCTCCGTGTGTGCTAAAAGATTCACTCAGAAGGGCCATTTAATAGCGCACACCAGAACACACACTGGGGAGAAACCCTTTGCCTGTTCGGTTTGTGGCAAAGGGTTTTCCAGAAAGGGAGATTTAAGAATCCATTCGAGAACACACACTGGGGAGAAACCCTTTGCATGCTCCTTTTGCGGCACAAGATTCAGACAGAAGGGAGATTTAATAGCACACACAAGAACTCACACTGGGGAAAAACCTTTTGCCTGCTCGGTTTGCAGCACCAGATTCACTCAGAAGGGACATCTCATCGCACACACAAGAACACACACCGGCGAGAAAACTTTTGCCTGTTCGTTTTGCGGTACCAGATTCACGCAGAAGGGGGACTTAAGGATACACATCAGAACACACACCGGGGAGAAACCTTTTGCTTGCTCAGTTTGCAGCTCATGTTTCAGCGTGCGCTCAACATTGATTCAGCACATGAGAACGCACACGGGCGAGAAACCCTTTTCCTGCACCGTATGCGGTAAGAGTTTCTCGAAAAAGACAAATTTGACGGCGCACACGAGAACGCATGCCGGCGAGAAACCTTTTGCCTGCTTAGTCTGTGGGAAAGGGTTCACTCAGAAGGGGCATTTGATGGCACACACGAGAACGCACACGGGGGAGAAAACATTTGCCTGCTCCGACTGCGAGAAAAGATTCACTCAGAAGGAACATTTGATATCACACGTAAGAACGCACACCGGCGAGAAACCATTCAGTTGCGGCGCGTGCGAGAAAAGATTTCATGTTAAGCGTCAGGTGAAGAGACACAAGTGCGCCGGCGTGAAGGTGCCCATTGGATCTGCCGAATGAGCTCGAAGCAGTGGGGCTGTGTTGGGAGTCGTTGACGCCTTCCCCAGTCATTCATCGCTTTCGAAGGATTTTTATGTTCGTGAGCTACAGGGTCAAGTTCACTCGCTAAGTCGAAAATGGAAACACATCGTTTGGAGAGCACTCAGAGGTTTTTTTTTTGAGGGGGGTGTATGGGTGCTGTATCCACTTGACAGTCAACAGACCTTGCTTCTTTCCATTTTACGTTCCTCTACTTTCTTTTCTTCGTTCTTGCCGCTTTTTCTTGCTCAATGATGAAGTGGCATTCTTCATCCATCCCGCATGAAGATATCGACATTTTTCTCAATACTCCATATTTGAAACAATGTCAATGTCGTCATGAAGTTTCATGTGATTTGTTTTGTTTAGCGGGAGCTTGTCAGCACACACTGACAACGGAACAGAGCAGCAGGAACATCTTTTCTTTTCAAGTCGTACACCGGACCTTGGCTAAGATGAAGCCAGGTGTTATTCGCATGCTTTGATAACATCGGCGCTCCGAGACAGATGAGCCCAAGCCCGCGCGGGGAACTGAACGGGGAGCACTTCACGGACGTGAACAAGAGAAAGGCCAAATAAGAAGAATCGTCAAAAGTTCCCCCAAAATGAGCCGCGCTGGGGCAGGCTTTAAAAACTGCCGTCTGAGAGCACTTTGATTCTTGCTTCCTGTAAATAAAATTGTCTTTGTCCTACCAGCTGGTGTGAGCGCAGTCTTCCTTGAAAATCATCTCCTGATCATTTGATTATTTTCTGTCCCGGGGGAGGGAGAGAAGATACAGCACGAGCCCGGACTGTTCTCGTTGGTGGCTCCCCTTAGCCTGAGGTGGAAATGTACGGAGCCCCTAAGGTGACATGCAAGAAGAGAACAAAAACACTTTGCGTTCCCTCGCAAAGATTGCGAGATAGCGCAAACTTTTCTTTGCAAGGGGACGCTTTTTGGGAAATGCGCGGTTGATGTTCTTCCGGTAAACAGAAAACAACAAAGTTGGAGCGTTTTCACCCGTTGGAACTTTACTTTGAAATACAAAGGCGTTAAATCTGTTCTTGAGTTTAAATACGGTTTCCAAGTCCTCCATAATTCGCTCCTTCCCCGAAGCATGAGCGTTTTCACCCGTTGGAACTTTACTTTGAAATACAAAGGCGTTAAATCTGTTCTTGAGTTTAAATACGGTTTCCAAGTCCTCCTCCATAATTCGCTCCTTCCCCGAAGTACTGTTTCCTGTGTCCCCATTAACAGTTCTAAAAGATGATTAGACCACAACCCCGGACTGCTCCCTGCATGTGCGAAGATTTATACGCGTGCATGACATCGGTGCTAATTTCAGTGAGCTCATCTACTTATTACTGGAGGATAGCATTCAGCTTGCGGACCTTCCTTGTTAAATCCACGCCCGTTTTACACGAGACACCATCTGTGGGTGAGAAACAAGCTGAACTTTTGCCTCTAATTGGGAGAAGTGGTTAAAAAGTGTCCTCGTGTCAAATGTTCTGCTTGCAATTGTCATAATCAGTTAATTTATTGACTACAATAATTAATCAGTCGATTAATCTGTTATGGGGATTTTAATCTGCTAAAAATCTTTTTGTTTTTGTTAAATCCATCTTATTTATTGGTTGCTTCTGATATAATCAGTCGATTAATCTGTTATGGGGATTTTAATCTGCTAAAAATCTTTTTGTTTTTGTTAAATCCATCTTATTTATTGGTTGCTTCTGATAGCACAGATACTTAAAATAAGACTGGCAAAAGCAAAGGAGGACTCAACTTAAAAAGTAAAGATGGAAACACAGCTGTAAAGTGAACATTTATTCTTAGTGCAGTACAAAAGAAAAAAAGATTTTTTTTTTCCTGTCAATGACTGCATACACAATCCCCATTTTGCTCGGGTGCCAAAACAACAAGAAAAACCTTCTCTGTGCACAAACTGCGGTCGCTCTTTTGTTCACTTGTATTGAGAAGAAGAAAGACACAGGGCAAAGGACCCAAACAACGTCCCATTTTTCATTTGACTGACGAATCAACAATATGGAAGAGCGATGCTGAAAATGCCTCAATTGCCATTAGGGAGCAGGGACTGAGTCGACGTTTCGTAACGCAACTTCAGGTTCTCCCTTCTCCAGAGCAGCTTGATAGACCGCCTCGCGTCTCGCCCGGACACTTGTGTCTCTTCACATCACGCTTCACATAAAATCGTTTATGGCACACGCCGCAACCGAATGGCTTCTCGCCGGTGTGCGTTCGTGTGTGTGTTGTTAAACTTGCCTTTCTCGAGAATCTTTTGCAACAAAAGACGCAGGCAAAAGGCTTCTCCCCGGTGTGCGTCCTCGTGTGCGTTGTTAAATTTGTCTTGATGGAGAATCTTTGACCGCAAATGGCGCAGGGAAAAGGTTTTTCTCCGGAGTGCGTTCTCGAGTGCCTCGTTATATTTTCCTTGGCCGAGAATCGTTTCCCACAAATGGAGCAGGCAAAAGGTTTTTCTCCAGTGTGTGTCCTTGCGTGAATGGCTAAACTTTTCTTTTCAGAGAATCGTTTGGCACAAAGTGAGCAGGCAAATGCTTTCTCCCCCGTGTGTGCTCTTGCGTGTGCTATCAAGTGTCCGTTCTGAGTGAACGTTTTACCGCAAACTGAGCAGGAATAGGGTTTTTCTCCCGTGTGGGTTCTTGTGTGCGCCGCTAACGTTGCCTTTCGAGAGAATCGTTTCCCACAATCTGAGCAGGCAAAAGTTTTTTCCCCAGTGTGCGTTCTCGCGTGTCTTTCCAATGAGGACTCGTTGAAAAAGGTTGCATCGCACTGAGAACATTTCTCACGTTTGCTATCCCCGTGAGAGTGTTGTTCTTCATCATCATCATCAAAGTCAGAAGAGTGTGACGTTATGCCATCACTCTCTGATAGCGGAGCGAAGAGGCCGTCTGGTTGTAACCCTTCAAAGTGCTCCCCGTCGCCTTCTTCGCCCTTCACACCGGCACCAGCCAAAAAAAACTCGGAGAGTTCATCGTCCCGCTCCTCTTCTTTCACGTAGCGGGTCTGTGGCTCCTCCTCCGCTTTCATGCCAGGGAACTTGGGCTCCTGCTGCTCGGGACAAAGATCTTCGCTGATGTCTGCAGCACACAAGAAGACAAGATGAGCTCAAGTCAAGCTTTGATCGGTCAAGTCTCGTGTGTGACGAGGATGTATTCGTGTTTAGAAATGTGTTGACGATGTTTAAGAGAGATTCAGGTGTGAGAGTCAGGTGTTAGAGCAGTTCCAATATAGAAGAATAGTTGAACTTCAAATTTCGATGAACTTGAGAGTGCCCCGCTGAAAATTACTCATTGAAGCAAAAAAGTTCTTTCGAGCCGTGAATTTGTCAAGTATGTTTCTCGAAAGGTGCTTCAAGCCCTGCACGCCCGCTATGAAGTGATGCGCCCCTGCAACGCCGTCACGAAACAAAAGAGTCGAAAGGAACAAACCTGCTGCGTGCAACTCATCGCGAGGCTGCCTGCGAACAGCCTCTCCTCGTTGTCGTTCGCTCTCTTTGGACCGACAGATGTCCTCCTCGTACTCTTCTTCTTTCACACTTTTGCCACACATTTTGACACCATCACCACAACCCCAACCCTTTACTGACCGAGCCACGTGGTGCCAACAAAGTCTTCTCTTCATTTGCAGCGAGCGGTCTGTTCTTTCGAGGCGTGAATTTGTCAAGTATGTTTCTCTAAAGGTGCTTCAAGCCCTGCACACCCGCTGTGAAGTGTATCACCACAACCCCAACCCTTTACTGACCGAGCCACATGGTGCCAACAAAGTCTTCACTTCATTTGCAGCGAGCGGACTTAGCGAAGCTAGGCTAAACTAGGCCGAGAAGCGTTCCCGTGCACCCAAACGAGTTTACCAGACACCAATATTCAAGGAAGGAAAGCGCGGTCCAATCAGGTCGTCGTGGACGTACATTATCCGTCCGGTACGACGTGAGGATGAATGTTTTAACGTTAGCTCGTGAGGTTACGGAAAAACTCACGCAGAGCTGCGTCGGAAATAGTACGGCAAGTCGACTTGGACAAACTACCGGCCAGACTCACGCAAACGCGACCTACAAGCCGAAAATTAACCGGGATTGCATTGCTAAGTAAAGAAAAAATATTTGAAAAAAACAAATCAACTGTATATTGAAGAAGAGATTCAATAAAAAATAACTTTAAAAAGCTCACACATGCGCACGCACACTGGAGATTTGCTGAGGGGGAAAAATACTGCTCAGCAAATCATCATCGGATTCATTAAAAAAATATATATACAGTGCCGAAATCATTATCATTATTGTTTTGTGTTATCAATCGTCATATGTTGCACTTTTACGTGAAAATACATCAAATGGATGGCGAATTGTTCCAAATCTTTTTTTTTCCATTTGCTTATAAAACAGTTTGCATAGAATGCACAGTAAAAAAGAATTTCGAAAAAGAACTCACGACGAAATGAAATGAAAGCCAGCTAACCATTGACAACGGCGTACATGACTTCGAAAGAAGAGGAAATGCGTCCTCGTGTTGACCTGGTATTATCGTAGCCATCCGTGACCGTATATGCAGTCCTGATGAATTTTGAGCCGACACGGACACCGTAGGTCTATAGCGACACGGAGAGGGTTTAGGCCTGTTCCGAGATCACTCAACTCAACTCAACTCAACTCAAGAGGGCATTTCTGAAAGACTTGAAAACAACCAGCGCCGGGTCCAAGGTGCTGGACACGGAGCAAAAAGAACTCATACAACAGCAAACAATAAAACAATAACGAAAACAGTAGAAAGCACCAAAACAACCCAACTAAACATCACGTGTCACGCCGAGTCAAAAGCCAAAGCCTAAAAATGACGAGTTTGAAAGATGGGCAGCCAAGGAGGGGGCTGGCCCAACGTTCACTCCAAAGAGAGGGAGCGGCAACACAAAAGGCGCCATCTCCCCTGTGAGCCTCCGCTTGGTTCTGGGGGCCTCTCGTAGTGCCTGGTCCCAGGCGGATCCGAGGCACTGAGCAGGGAGCTCCCGCAGGTCAGGTGTGGCCAGGCCAATTCAAGATTGGAAAACAAATCATAGAATCATTTTTAAAAGAAATTCTGAAATGTAGCCAGTGACGGGATGCCAGAGGAGGAGTTCTGTGCTCCCTCCTGATACGAGTAGCAGACAAGAGGCCAGCAGCGGCATTCTGGGCCAACTGGAGACGCTTCGTGATTGGTCCATTTCTTAAAAGTTAGCTGGATCTGTTTATTTTGTTCTGCATTGGTTGTGCAGTGGAATAACACGGTTTGGAAAGAATGAAAAACAGCGATGTGACTCAAATGTTGAATGACCCTCAAATTCTCTTTGTTGTTGTCTCGAGGTGGACCATCCAAGGACGCAAAGACCTGAATTTTGAGCGAACAAATCTTCCCCTGTCCCAGTTGGTGCAGGTCGCCGCCAAACCGGCCAGTCCCAGTACGGTCGACGGCTGGGCGCGCTTCCATCTCACCAGGTCGGAGAGTCCGATCCAGAAGCGCGTCTTCCGCGCCCTTGGAGGTGGCGGAGACCGGGTCGCTGCCCTACCGAACGCGGGCCCCCAGCCAAGCATCTTCTTGTGCGGGTTGGAATGGTACTACGGTACCGGTACCATTTTGGACGGAGGACGCATTTGCGCATCTTCTTGCTCTTCGCGCCGTTGCCCCTCAGGGCGCGTTCCTGCCAGTTCGCCATTTGGTCGAGAGGGGGCGGCCACTTATTAGGTCATTTCCAGTGTTCCTTCGAAAGACGACAAACATGCCGCCGGCAACATTTTTGGACCTCTGGCCGGCAAATGGGAAGCGCTCTCACGTTCCTTTATGAGGCTCGCCCCGAAAGCAGCGTCGTCATTGCCAACCGATGACGACGCATCGGCTGGGTTGGGGTGCAAGTGTGACCAGGCGCGGTGAGTTGGAATTGTAGACCACACAAAGTGGGTTCAGTGGGAGTTTGGATTCAGATTTTACATGCGGCTC